ATTTATCACTTATGATTGCTCCAGAATCAAATAACATATCATTGCTTGAATGGTGTTAGCCCAGAATTAAGTACGATAGGCAATAACATACAATTCAACCTCAATACAAGGAAGAAAATTTAGATCAATTTTAATAAAAAAGAAGAATTTGTTATCAAAATAACAAAAATAATACCTTCTGCTCCAGTTTAACAGTCTTGCCCGCTCCGAGGATGTCTTGCAGTGTTTGCTTCAGCTCTTTTTCCTCTTGCTCAGGAAGTGGCTGAAAAGAAAAATTATAGTAAATGAAACATGCGGCGGAAGAAGAGAATAGCAATAAGAAGAATGTTGAAATAGATTTATTAAATAATAAAGATGCAACTGGTAACAAAGATGGGAATGTTGGAATAGATTTATTAGACCATAAAAGATAGTGATAAATGAATACAGTAGGATGGTACCTACAAAAGGTTAATTATTTAAAATTATAAGAAAAAAATTAGGTGATTTGATCATGTAGAATAGAAGGAAAGAAGGCGTACAGATAAGGGAATTAGATACAACTAATGAAGAAGGCCTAGAAAGAAAAGAAGAAGTGGACAGAACATAACATGGTGTACAATATTTGGAGAATTCTAATACATATTTGACAGACTGACAAATAATTTTAAAAAATAAACTAGTTTGATTATCATACTGAAATTGATAATATATGGTGTGAGTTTGCATTTGAATACATTAAAAGATTTTAAACTTCCAAAACATGTGTAAAAGTATCTGCGCCGGCATTAATGAGGGCTGCCACATTCACGTCCTATTTTTGAAGGCCATTCCTAAACAATGATTAAGCATAATGAAAATATAGAGAAAGATTTACATACATACCACTCGATTCTTATGTATTTATATATCTTCTTATGTATTTATATATACAGCACCTAAAGTTGGATTTTTACATACACACCACCTTACCCATGCATGAAAAGGTATAATTCAGTTTTTAAAGGCTAAAGTGGTGGTATTTTTGATGTGATATGAAAGATTTGGGTGGTATAAATGCAAAAAATAAAATTACGTGTTAGATATGTAAATACACAGGAATTGGATGGTATATATGTAAATGCCCCAAATAGAAAATAAACTAGGATGTCATACTTGCAATGAAATGTTAACAGTTTGCCGATAGATATTGAAATATTCCAAGTGACTTCCAGGTTTATGCATGTCATTGTAAGAAATTATTAAATATACATATATATATATATACTAGAACAAAAAGTTCTTTAACACTGAGGCAATAACCTACAGAATCAAGGACTGAATACAGTCTGCAAAATATCAGAAACATTAGCATGCATTCAATGAACATGTATTTTCAACGTAGAAAACCACGGTTGAGAAAGTAAGGGTGTTCGGGTTAACATATAATGAAGGGAAATTTACATTCATAGCACACAATTCTAATGTATTTATATATCTCACACCTAAACTTCCATATTTACATACATAGTGCATGTTGCTGCAAGCCTAGGCATGAAAAAGTGTGTTTCACTTTTAAAAAGTGACAATTGTGTTATTTTTTGTGGCACTAAATATTTGAGTGACGTGTAATGTGACGCGTAATTATAAAAGTTTAGGCGTGAGATATGTAAATACATAGGAATTGAGTGGCCTGCACGTGAATCTTCCATAATCATTCGGAAGTAATATGGGAGAAAGTGCTTACAATCACTGAAGTCACAATGACTTTAACTTCTCCTCTGTGTGCCATAGTCAAATCAACAAATCTCTGAGCAATGCGCTCTAAATACTTTAGCCTCCCGTTCTCAGCTAAGACAACTTCAACAAACAAAAACAAAATAAAAATTTAAACACTTCCTATAATTTGGAATCATCATATCTAAAAAAATCTAGGAAAATTTCATACATACTACACAAAT